AAAAGTGAGACACCGAAAAAACCCAGGGAAATGTGCCCAAAAAAAAAACTCCACCGCAAAACACCCCCCTCCCCATTCTTTTTGATGGTAAGGGACCCGCAAAAAACAGGGGGCAAAGGAGGGGGGGGAGGGGGGCCCCCCCCCCCCCCCGCAAAAAAAACCCACGGATGTTACTCGACTACAAACTAGTTCCTGATCGCTCCCAAGAATACAAATATAATCTGAATTACTAAAAGAATTTAATACTAGGCATTTTTACTTTACAAAACTTTATTTCGTTGAGATTAAAATGTAATTATAACATCATTCTAAATAACCAAACTTGGCGAATTTGTTGCTAAAGGTATTTTACACTGCTTTCACTTGCTTGTTTCTGAATGTTCATTGCATTCACAAATAACGATACAGTCGATTTACAAAAGAATCCGTGCTCTTGGCCTAACGCTAACTAAACTAAACCATAGTGAAATACAGTTTACATATTTTAATATAAACTAAATCTTAATTTCTCTTCTGTATATTTGTCGCCAACATACAAACTCCATTGAAATATAAGAATACTATACCAATCATCAGTTACAATATTTGAAAACTGCTAAAACTACTAGTAACTCATGCTGTATTAACCTTGGCCACACAGGACCAGATCGCGTACAAACCACAATTATAAGTTACAATATTTATCAACTCTAAAACTACTAGTAACTCATGTTGTATTAACCTTGATCACACTGGATCAGAAGGCGTACAAGTCACAATCATAAGTTACAATATTATCAAACTCTAAAACTACTAGTAACTCGTGTTGTATAAACCTTGGCCTCACTGGACCAGAAGGCGTACAACTCCAATTGAGTGAAAATGTATTTACGACGAAAGTACTAATTGTGGACACTATTTTTACGTCTCCTACTGGAGACGGGACCGCCATTTTACGTGGTCATCCGAACCACGCGAAGGTTCAGCTGCTTGAAGTGCAAAGAGATTCCCTTCATTTCTCAGTTATTTTTAAAAGACCCTGAGTAATGGTCCAGCCCCGGGAATCGCACCCGTGACCTCCCGCTATGCAGTCATGCGCTCTCCCGACTGAGCTAATCCCGCCTGTTCAGTCTGAGACTCAAAACAATGTAAAATTTCTAACTATGTACACAGAAATACTCCTTTGCAGCACTGACGAGTGCCAGCCGCTTGTTGCTCTCAAATCAAACACGACACTGTAGTTTTATCTCATCCCTTTTGGCCCCGTTCATATGAAGAAAAGTTGTCCCGAAAAAGAGGGTCACCCTTCAGCTGAGTCAACGGAAAAAATAGTTGACCCTTTTGCCAGAGTCAACAGTGCTCGCACATGCTCAGATTGTCTCGCCTTAACTAAGTTGACCCAGCTGGGCGAGTCAAAGTGTTTGTAAGGAGAAACGTTGGATCAGCGAGGAAGGTGACCCTACCTTCACAAAAGGGTGAACACGCGGCTAGGCTGGTCACCCTTCTGGCAAAACCCTTTAAACCATAAGATCAAAATTTGAACTCTCATTTGTTGCCCCTATTCATTTCCTACAGAAGTAGTGGGGGGAAGTTGATAAAATATAAAGCAATTCATCTTGTGTGATCATGTCCGTAGTTCTCATGACCACATTGTTTTACAAAGCATTGATATTACAAGGAGAAATTTGATGCTGATCAGTCTTAGGGCTTAAAGGGTTAAGGGAACGCATGAACAGGTGGCTCACCCCAGGGTAGCTCGGGTAGGCGGCGGATTGATCCTTTCTACCCGGTACAACTTTTCTCCATATAAATGGACCTAACAAAGCTGAAACAGATTCACGAGGAATGGGATTGTGTTACATCGTGCAACCAGGTAAGTTGAATTGACCATAGAAGACTTAACGAGACTGAGTAACAAAGCGCAATTTTCAAACTAGTTATGTTCAAAATACGCTGTATAAAACTTGCACTGTCAGATTTTTTAAACGATTTTTTAATGCGTGGGTCGGAATCAGCCTTCGAAAACTAAATCTCAAAGCCATTTGTTTTTCCCTAATATGAACTGCTCTAGTCTTTCGGAAGTCAAATCGCTAAATATGTGTAGACGTTCTGCCATTTTCGACTGCACGTGAGACACACCTGAAGGTATCTGGTAACCTTAACGATATACAGAGTAGTGTGAACATAACGGACTCCAGGCTGGGCTTCCACAGGACAAAATCTCGGTATCAATGAAAACGTGTGTGATGTGGCTTGAAACAGAATGATTTTCTGTGACCTTGAAATGATCACGCGTGGCCCTAATTTCAGGCAGCAATAATTATATTCGTTTAGCTGGATTTGCGACTAACTTTTTAATGAATATGAATGACTTGAAGAAAGCGATATAGCGATCGGGGAACTATATTGAAGACTAGAATGGTTACGAAACATGTCAGCGGGACCAAAGAAGAGTCGTTTTAATTTGCAAACAGAGAAAACAAAAAATGTCCAAACTTGAAACAAACACTAAGGGTCCAATTGAAAGAATTTTTAGATGGATCATTTTGTATTTTTAATTAGAATCTTTATTTTCAAGGGTCGGTTGTCACGGTGGCTTCAAGATTCACGAAATAATAAATAATTAAGTCCATTTCTATTGTAGATTGCATTTCATTGATACTGACATATGTTCCTGCAGACTGGAAAGCACATAAATCTTACCTGTATTCTGCTACTGAATTAAAACCTTATGACACCCACTCTCTTTTCCATAAAAACTTACATCGAGTTCAAGTAAGGATAATGATGCGCTTTCTATTAAAAGTTTCCTGAAGTCATATAAACGACTTTCACCTGTAGCACAATGGTTGTTCACTTTTAATCTCAGAGTAGTTAATGAGGTGTTTGCCATCAAGGTGTTGGAAAGGCCTGTTAACCAGTCATCACTCACTTCTTTGCTACTGTTGAGGGTCAGATTGAATGTGGTAACTGATGTGTTATTTGCCAAACCTCCAAACATGCAAAGAAACAGGGGTATATCCGATTTTCCATCACCACACTCATTTATTGTGATATTTAACGTAGTTATTGACGTGTTCACTGACAGTCCGTGATCGAAACTGCTCAGCCGAATAATATCATCTGTTTTATCTGCTGCCACAGTTATTGTTAGTGTCAGTGTAGTTATTGACGAGTTTAATGACAGACCTCGATCAAGACCAGAGAACAACCTGGAAAAATACTTATCAGTGGGGTCGTTAATAAAAATTGCGACACATAATGTATTTAATGAGCTTGTTGTCACCAAGCCGTTACAAAGGCCACTAAAAGCGCAATAAAAGTCTGATTTACCCCCGTTCAATGAGAGACTAAGTTTCTTAAGTGACGTGCATTTTATCAAGCAGTCACCTACAACCTCATCCCAAAATGAACACATACTATCACTAACGATTACAACAGAAAGGGAAGATAATGATTTGATTGCCGCTAGCACGTTACTCAGTTTAGTCGGACTCAAACAATTCCCCTGATTCTCCTCAACATAGTCAAGGCTGCTGAGCGTAGGACTCAAACTATCCTTCTGATTCCTCTCACCGTCGCTGTTTATTTTAAGACTGATTGTGGTTAAAGATGCCATTTTGATCAAACGCTCACCCAGGCTACATAACCATCCTTCTTTCATGTTACTGAAGTTGAATGTGAGACCAAGAGATATTAAAGAAGTGCTTTGCAATAAACTTTCCCCAAGGTTTTCTCCCAAATCTGCATCTACGAAGCAGCTGTTGACGGTCAGATCAAGCGTACTCAGGGATAGATTTTCTGCCAAAACATCACCTAGACAACGTGTCCACTCCTTGGTAACATTACTATCGTTATTGACTATAAGACTGACTTTTTCTTTTCTTCTATCCTTGACGTTAGTGAAAAAAACTCTCAATGCCGCAAGGTTATCGGTAGGGATAACAGGAACATTGTTCGACTCAGCTGGGCCTATACGCACATCATGTACATTTAACTGAACGCGACTGTTTTTTGAAAGGCTGGAAGGAACATTACCTCCCTCTGTTGTCAACTCACCCCATAAATTGATGGACAGGGAAGATAGTGTCTTGTTATCTTCCAAACATTTTGCAATGGAATTAGAAACTTCACTTGTCAAATTTCCACGCACGTTTAAGGTGAGAACAGTAATGGAGGAAGGCGCCAAAAGAGCACAGAGAACTTCTGCCGCTTCGCATTTCATCTCACCCCAGACGTTAACAGTTAAGTGTTGCTTTACATTTAACCCTTTCCAAACCAGAACAGGATGAAAATAATTATTTACTACGTTGTTGAAGGTGTTTGGATAAATACAACAGCAAACGGGGGACTTTTTCGCCAAGCAAAGATTTTCCAATACAGAATGCCAGTTACCAGGGAGCTCACCGTAGACACACAGTCTTATATAATTCAAAGAACTATTTTCCATAAGCCCTTTTTCCAGGAAACTGGCACTAGAGGAACTTAGCGGTCCACCAAAATGAAGATCAAGAGATTTTAAAACTGTTTGTCTTGCCAGTGCTTCACTAACAGTAGCTACTAACAAATCCTGCACGCCTCCAACAATACAAAGAGAAACAGAATTCAAGGATTTATTTGACAAAAAATTTTGTAAGGCTCGTGTCGTAGTGTAATTCATTGAGCCATGTACCTCGAGACCAACAGACGTCAGTGGTGCCAATCCAGTTTCAAGGGAATTGAAAAAACCCTCGCTATAAGCACATCCAGGCAAAGAAAACGTTTCTTTTGTCAGAGTTCGACATGAAGCCAAGCCATGTACAATTTGAACCAGCAGGTCACTTTCCTCAGGAGTGGTATCATATCTGAATTTAAGAGTAAACTCTGATAGACTCTTGGTAGTAGAAAACCATTTGCAAAGACGATCGCTATCAAATGACGTCAAAGAGTCCTTATCATAAACAACACTTACGATTGTCAGCAGCGGACAGGATTCTATATAATTCAATACGGTACTCCCTCCCTCCTTCAAAAAACATGTATCAGCATAGAGTTCAACAGGTGTCTGTAGATTTGAAAAGCTCTTACAAGCCATTAAAACATCAAGAAAAAAAAGATTGTGACCTTCATATGAATCAAGGGTTATGACCTTTGGAAAAGGTATAACTTTACATAGAGTAGCTGCCATTTGTTCAGGATGTCCACTTTCATTAAAGCTTTCAATAAACAAAGTAGCTTCCTCCTCACTGCAATAGTCGGTCCAATTCCAGTTATATGACTTCTTTAACTCTTCGCCCATCTGGGTGAATAGGACAGTTGCTTTCTCGCCCAGCATCCCAGAAACAAAAATAAACACTTGTGGATATTCCGTTTCCAAATCATCAATGGAAATGCGCTCAAATACATTAAACTGCTGATTTACTAACTTCTCTGCGATATACGCGGCAGCTACGTACTCTTGGAAGGTCTTGTGAAGAAAGCAGTACTCATGTTCAGGCTTTAATCTCTTTAAACTTTCTTCCTTGTAAAGAAGGCCTAGCTCACGTGCTACCAATCCCGGGTATCTACTTTCAAACTCATCCAATTCAGATTCGCGGAAACCATAACGATCACTCAGCAGGCATAACCAAGCTAGCTCTCCAAGGGCAAGAATTTCCTTCTCAAATTTTTTCTCTAAGGCGATGTCATTCCTAAGGGCCGGTTGGTTGCGTTTGGCGCAGTATCGTCTCAAAAGACATTGCACAATGACTTGGTAAAGTTCCGTCCGGGAAGTCGGCAATTTTCCCTCGTAGTCCTCATAAACAACACAGAGGAGAAGTAAATTTAAAGGGTTGTTTTGGAGTGCATTCAAGAAGGTGTTCTGTTGCATTTCCTCAATTAGCCTCTCCCCCTTTGGTGACTGACCAATGGTTTTGAAGTGTCTTCTTACGTAGACAATAGCATCACTTTCCGTGTACCCTTTAATCTCTAAATGAATATCAAATACAAAGTATTTTCGTGCTTCAATTCCTCTTTCTTGTCGTGACGTAGCCAAGACATAGCAAAATGGGAAAATTCGTCTGTGAAGCAGCTCATCTACATGGTGCCGTGATTTTTCAGGCAGCTCATCCAAACCATCCAAAATTATCAAAATTCTTTCCTGGTTATGAATATCCTTGAGGAAGTGCAACAACTTCTCTACAATCTCCTCCTCAATATCTCTGGGCAGAAGTTGTTCCCTTATGGTGTCCATTATATTTCCATCCATGTCTCGACATTTCAGGAGCAACACAACTTCAAACTTGGGAAAGGAACACTCTGTTGGGATTTTTCCATGTGTAGAGTCAAAAGCAAGTTTAAGGCAAAACATTGTTTTACCGATCCCTGGACTTCCTTCGACAAGCGTCATGACATCCTTACCTTTTTCAAGGGTCTTGAAGATTTCAGTCACGTTCACCTCGTCATTTCCACTCACTAAGTCTGGTTTTTGTCCCTCGGGGGCTATGAGGTGGAACATATTCGCCATATTGGCTTCCATCTGGATGGCCAACTTTCTTCTTGAAATGATTTTCAGTCTCGTGTAAACGTTCTCTAGGGGTAACTCGATAGTGCTATCCCAAAGAAGTGGTCTTAACAGACAGCGCCTTTTGTATTCAGCTTTGAGCACTTCAACAACAACCGAGTTGTTCCAACCTGCTGGAAACAAAAAGGTGAGGGAATATTTGGCAATAAAGATAAACGTAGAGTTGACATTCCAAACGGATTAATCTCACTGTGACATGCTTTCCTCTCCTCAGTAAGCAGAAAGGCCGTTAATTCTACTTATTTTGCTTACAGATAAGGATGTTACTGTCTATACAAGTAAATGATTTCGATGACATATTAAAATACCTTCCGTGACAGAATGAGCTTCACCGAGACAATGGTAACATTTGGCGGAAAAGAAAAAGCTATCAACGCTTACATTTTTATGAAAACTGTGTGGCATACATTCTCTGTAAAAACATTTCACTTTTAAGGTTCATGTCTTTAACAAATAATGTAAAAATCATTTGCGTTCCAAAACAGAACTGAGATCACTCTAAATTTTCTGACAAGTTATTAGTTTGTTCATTACGCCGCAAATACAAAAGTTAAGGAATGTGTTTCGATTCTCAACAGCTTAGCCTCTAACGCAGACTTTCCTAGGGTGTGACGAAGTCCTGAGAAGGTCTGCGTGGGAAGCTGATCTGACTGACAAGAGGCTAGCGATAAATAGTTAGTTTCTTACGGTGAAAGTAACGTGATAAAAGCATAACCAGGCTCTCGAGAAACACGCACCCAAGGACACGAGACCATCCTAAACTCTCTCATACGCACGTAATGTCATACCAACTCTTACTCTAATATTGGGTCTTTGCTTGAAATGGAAGGAGAAAGTTGTCAAAGCCAACAAAACCTCGCCCTTGTCGTGTACTTCTATTGCCGGAAAACGGAAAAGAGCTTCTGGACCTAGAGAAACGACAGAAACGTGCGCCAGCGCCTACAATTAAATCAATTACCAACATTAAAGGGATTACGTCACGAGTATATACCTAAGTTATTGGTACTTAATTTCGCGGATTTCGCGATTGTGGAAAACATCGCGAAATTAAAGACCCGCGAATAAAAATCCCCGCGATAGTTAAACAAGCGAGATTAAATACCCATACAGAAAATTGAAATCACAGAAAGAAAAAATTAATTAAACAATTACCAGATATACTCAAATACCAACAAATTATTAGCTGGTTAACTGGTAAGTTCCATTCCTTGACTGTGCCTTCTGTTGTAAAATAACGTTAATATGCGTTTTTCTTGTTTCATTTTATCTCGATATTTTAAAAAATTCAGACGTTTGAAAAATAAAATCAGGTTCAGAACGCCTTAATCGCAAAAAATCTAATGCCTTTTTCCATAATTGCCTAGTGAAATCGCGAAAATAAAACCCCGCGAAATACTGTCTTGCCAAAATCACGAAATTAAGTACTACTAAGGTAGCTCTCTTTTCTCCTGTAGTGTTGTGAAGAAGATCAAACAATCTTCATCAACGAGCACTAACCATAATAATTTTTTTTATTTATTTCTGAAGGCATAGCATTAAAACGTGTAAAAAGGTTGGCCCAAATTTTTCAAGTTTCAATCCATGTCCACCATTGCCATCAGTAGCAACAACTTTTGTTCTGTTAACTGTGCCGAAAATATTTTCGCAATTAAAAAAGTGGATTAATTTTTAATTTTACACTAATAATAAATCCTGCTTACGGCTAAAAACAAAGACAATTATTGGAGGACAGATAGCTTAGCAATACTAAAACATTTCCAAGGCCCCCCTACAGTCGTTACTTTGAGGGATTTCGAGGTTTTGTGAACCGTGTACTGAACTGCCGAAAAGTATATCCGTAATCAATTACTAGATTTCTGCTGTCGCGTATAAATTATGCGACAGTGGAAATCCACCTTTAGGCTAGTAATTAGAAAATTAAGCAAATAGATTAGACTACCGTGACACGGCAACTTTAAAAGGCAGGAATAGAGCTTACTTAAAACTCAGTGGACAAAGCTCGCCTGTGAAGGAGTTAAGAAATATTTCACCTCTCTTTAACAAGTGCGTAGCTTAGTGGAGGTGAGTGCCTGGCATGCCCAGGGGCTTCCACTTTTGGCAAAGCCAGCCCCTAGACAGAGTTACGCCAAGCCCCCCTTGGCTGGTAAACCCGCGCCTTCCAGCCATGAGCCCCCACGGCAATGGGACCAGGCACCTGTCACACTTTTACCAGGGTAAAAGAATGCAAAGAATGAACAAAAGGTTAAACAAAGAGAGAGGCCGCCAGGAAACGGAAAGCGGGGTGAGATATGATAGTTTGGATTAAATCAACAGAGTTGACTTTTAAAGTTAACTTTTCCGCATTGTAAAAGGATTGAAAGGCTAGCGTTTTGAACTCAAGCTCTTTGTCAACGAATCCATAGTAAGGTTGATGCTCGAAATGAAAGATTTTGAATCTTTGACAATGTAAAAAAGGAACCACCATATTTTTATTTTGTAAGCTATGCAGCTTATGAAACCGCATTTTAGGAACACAAGACCAACGACACAAAACAATACAAGAATCAAGGAAGTTTAAATATATGATTTTTATTTTGTAAGCTATGCAGCTTATGAAACCGCATTTTAGGAACACAAGACCAACGACACAAAACAATACAAGAATCAAGGAAGTTTAAATATATGAAATACCAACCCATACTCTAAATAATCCAAAAACAACCTCTACCTTCATCTCTCCGCGTTAGTCTCGGTTGTTTTGGTGTTGCGACAGCACTCGAAGATAACGGCCTTTTGCCTTTCGTTGAAGACCTGGATCTCTTCGCTGCGCCTGCAATTAAATCAACTAACATTAAGCGTTTGCCCAAATAACTGCGCCTGAGAACTTTTAAAAATTAACAGAACTTTTTTTAATGAGAAGTATTCTTAACGCTGAATACGCTGACAATTAATCCCAACAAAGAAAATCGTTGGAGGGTAGATAGCCCGTAGCAATATCACAACATTTCCAAGGCCCCCAAATTGTGTTAATTTTAGGAACTTCGAGGTTTCATCAACCGCATAAATGCACAGAAGTATATCCATTTTTAATAAGGCATCAAGCATTTGAATTTCAGCACAAACGAATACCAAACTTGATGCACATCACTTAAAAGAGAATTACTAACTTCTGTCACATACAAACAGTACATCATGGAGCACTGATTAAGTTGTAAAACGTGTATGTTGTATGTATAAATGCAACCGTATTTTCAACGGACAAAGCTCGCCTCCTGTGACAAACACCAACTCCTTCTGATCCAATAAGCTACACAGGCTAACAACACGACCTTAAATAAAACTGAAGTACGTTTATAGGCTGCCTTTATATAATCATCCGCATCCTCTCTTTCGCCCCACAAAATAGAGGCGATGAAATGAAGATACGTAAACATATACTTACATCGCCCAAAAATGGAGGCAATGAGATGAGGGTAATGTGAACAATTGTATGGAAACCAGGCTTTCAAAACCACCACGACAACAAAAGCAAAAGGTTTGTTTTCAGAATTTGTTCTCGTGCTCGTGCAGCAAAATTCTTGCTACATTTCTTTGCAGTTTCGGCTTTCCTAATTCTAAATTTTATGGGTACTTACACCACGAAGCTCTCAAAACAAGTCTTTTCAGAGCGACGGTCAGGACATCCGATAAAAGTTTGAATGTCGGTTTTCGAGGTTGGAGTCTTGAAATGACCTAATTTTTAACCTGAAATTCGCTAACATCAACTTTCCTCGCGTTCGCAAACAACGCGGCATGCAAAAAAATGTAACACCTCCCATGGAGATGTAAAGCTCCAGCCGATTGCTAGAAAGAAGGATCTGATTAGTATGTATCGAGGCGCTCTTAGTTACTACTGTTCACATAAAAAGAAAACTTGGGAGACAATACCCCTGAATAACACGAGGCTTTCGCTTGTTAAGACGAAACTTCAGATAAATATTGGCGAATTGTAGCCCTTAATTTACTGCCTTACAATATATCAATAAACTTGCGACCCAAAGGTCTCCTAAAACGACGTTTAATTTCGAGAATCAAATTTTGAAAAAATCTGCTCAGCGGTTTAAAAAATATTCGGTAATTTGTTTAAGTGCACCAAAATTTTTACAAAACAGAATTTACTACTAACAAGAGCCGGGGGCCACATTCATAGTAGCCGGGGGAAATCCCCGGCCCCCGCCTCTTAATGACAGCCCTTCACTCTTAATAAATATTTCATTTGTGACAAGTGATTTCACCTTTTCTGTCAGCATTCCTCGATACTAACCGAAACGTAGAGCCTTTTGGTGAAACTCAAGTTTGTGAGCAGCAAAAGTAATTGTCACTGTTTCTGAACTCAAGCCTATCTCTTTTGAACCTTTACTAGCTATTTCTGTCAAAACAGATAGGCAACTGTCCGTGACTCTTTCAAAAGTTCTCCGTCTAAACTGGAGGTGTGTCAAAAAATGCGTTCAAACTTTAATGAGTACCATATGGCATCTTTTTATGAGCAAATGCCGTGTATGTCACACCTGTTTCCCAAGTCTAATAACACAGATGAAGAAACAGACTGTGACCAATTTAACTGACCTTCTAAAGTGATGATTTTCATTCTTTCTACGAGTTTATCACACTGTTCCTCCCAAATGTACTTTTCTGCATATGCTCTACGTACAACATTAGACTCCCCTAGTCGCATCTCCCTGTCTTTCTGACGAACAGCTTTGACTACATTGGCCCATTCTTTAGGATTTTCTGACTCTATCACACAGCTCGAACCAAAAGGAACTTTCTTTAAAGACTCTCCAAAACCAGAGTTCCCACTGACCAGCACAGGCAGACCAGCAGATAAAGCCTCAAGGGCAGCTAGACCAAAGCCCTCAGTTCGGGAAGGCATTATAGCAAGATCCACTTCACAAAACAACTGTGCTAGCTGCTCTCTACTTTCATTAAAACGACGCACCCTGAGTTGACTGCGATCAATGCCATACTTAAGTAACAAGTCTGCTACTTTCTCTTCTTCTCCGCTTGTTGCCCCAACAAACACAAGTTTGTAGGTCGTATCTTTCAACTCAGCAATGGCTTGGGCAGCGATATCATATCCCTTCAGCTGAAAATCTTCACTGTCGCCACGTCCAAACATCAAAACACTGAATGAACTCCTTTCTTGAGAGGCTTGCTTTACATCAGCAAACTCAGAGAAAATGCCTGGAGTAAGATTGAGAACATCTTGATCTTTTCCACAGGGACGAAGATAACGTGAGAAAACTTCAGCCAGCTTGGGTCCAACTGCTACAACTTCATCAGCCAATTTACAGAGTTCAATCTCAACTTGGTGCTTCTTCTCACCTTTGGAAATGTGCTCTTCATATCCTTTGTACATTCCAAGTTCTTCGGGAGCTGTATGAACGACTTGAATCCACTTACAATGATGATGGTGTTTTATAATCTGCACTTGACGACCAAGAACGGCCCCATGTCCTATCACACAATCCACAACATGGTCTTTTGGCAGACAAGACAACCAGAGTTCTGGTTCTAAACCTGGCCTTTTTTCTGCTTCAATGAGAGTAACACTGTGACTTGCAGCAACTCGTTTATCCTCTTCACTGCACTGAGGAAGATAAACGCTGACCTCCACGCTGGGATGTTTTGCCAACTGAATGGCCAGCTCTCGGTTGATGGTTGATAAGCCTCCTTTTGTTGATCTCCATTCACTGCTTAACAGAGTAACTCTTAATTTCCTGGAGGAAGTGGATCCTGAATTGCTTTCATGGTCTTCCTGTGATGTAGAGGCTGTGCTGGGAAAGGATGACAAATCCTAAAAGAGGAGTAGCATAAATTATCCAAAGGATTTGACAAAAAGCGTTTTGAATGCAATGTAAATTCATACGAACCTAAACTGACTCATAATAACTTAAACTCAAGCAATGTCTTGCATTGCTTTTCAGAGTCCATACCATTTGAAAAGGCTGACAAGAAAACTATAGATTACTTATACTAACAAGTTAAGCGCTTTGGTAATAGAAATCGTTACATTCTGACTGCTACACAACCAACACATTGTGTAACAATGGCTCAAGACATATCATGTTTGAACTTCGGGTACATACTATAATTATACTTAATTACTTAGGCCAGGAATCATCCCAGGGCTAAATGACTTAAGATGTATCTGTGGTTAGCATACTCTTACAAAAATTAGCAGTTTACATAAAATTATGCATGTAGAGTAACATCCTATTGAAAACGTAAACAGTTCAAAACTGCTACAAATCAACTTTACTTTCTAAGTTTCTACTTAAACTTGAGGACAATATGTTTAAACTAGGGTATCTAAAAGATAGTAATGCTGCGGCACATTCTGTTGATACTGGCATTAGTTAGGCAGTGAGACTTAAAAGAATCAAAAATGACATTGAATGTCCTATTTACATGTTGGAAAGTACTAGAATAATTACTATCAGTCTATAGAAAGAACTCGTCAGAACGTTGTTTAGAAAATGACCAAGTGGTTATCAACTCTGGTTTTCCCACAGTAAATTGTAGGAAATAATAGAAATTCAGATTGTTTATCCATTTATTTAATATACGGTGCACGATATTTTCTCTGGAAACACAATACTTTTCTTGCTGTTTGTTGCACTTTATTAAGTAACAGTTATTTAGCTATATATTTATAGAAAACAACAACAAAAAAAACGGGAAAAAAAAAGAAAGAAGGAACAAATAATTCGATAGGACTTGAACCCGGCACCTTCGACTCGACGCAACTACACCTAACCACTACACCACAGAGGCTGATAACGTAATATTTGGGAAGAGTCTTTCATTTTATTCCTTTTCCATGAAACTTCCGCCGGCAAGATGATCGCCAGCCGCATTAACCGAGCTATTAACAGTGAAAAAACAATGTAAACGCATATTCCATGGCAATGATTGAATGAAAGAACATAATTATGCTTTTCAAAACGCCGATACACGTCCTGGTCTGCAAAGTAGGACACAAAACATATGTTTCGTTATCGCGATTTCTGCTGTTATTTTGAAGCGAATGGTCAAAATCACATCTATTTTCGGCTCATACAGTTTCTTAAGAGTAGCATTGCATGACATTTTCCAACTTCACATCACCTAGCAAGCTGGAATTCCCCCGTGTTGCGGAGTCGAAGAGCAAATGCTCATCTTCTCGTCAGGTTTAACACCTGGACGAGTCAAAAGCTCTTGAATTGAAATCCAATCCCCAAATTAACCATCGTACTCATCTGAGAGACTCCTGCGTGTCTTAAAATTTGGTAAGACCTCTAACCGTGCTGTAGAACTGGGCAGCGAACGATGCAGAACTTCCCCGTGTTTTTATTTGAGTTGTTCGTGGCGCAATGCACTCTGGTTAAATGCAATGCATTGTGGTAAAAAGTGTGGTTAAATGCAATGCATTGTGGTAAAAAGTGATGAATTCGAGAATTCGTCGCCCCTTATATATTTCCTTTAAATCCTGATTATGTTGCTGCTCGCTCCCTTCGGTCGCTCCGCAGCAAATATCATGGGAATATCACTATAATAGGGAGGGAGGTGTGACAGAAATAACTTGCAGGGTAAAAAGTTAAAGATGATGCACATTACTAAGACTGTCTCAACAACACGGTACACCTGTACCACACTAAGAGGTGAGGACAATGTTACAATGCGACCGTAAAAACCGTGAACACTTGAAATATCTCAGGAATGATTATTGTGTTATGACCAATCACAGCAAACATCAAGTAGACTAAAGACACGTGAACTGGCCACAAAACCACAAACTAATTTACGATCTTGCTTGTGGTTTAGTTTTCTCACGCCTGATTGGCTTTATACTTCGGGACACACTGTAACTACCTTTGGCAACGATGACAGCAACAGCCACAGGATTGTCGCAAAGTAATAGATTTAATGACCATAAAAAAACAAACTCTGCACATGCAGCACACTTTATGGTACATTCTTTGCTATTACTGCACAACTTTGACGTGAAAAATTCCTAATGCGAAGTTTAGTTGAAGAAGAATTTCTTTCCAAGGAAGTTAAACACCTCTAACATTGTAAGTGCCTTGGAAAACTTTCAACAAAGTTTAAAAAGGTAAATTTATTTTAGTAGTGACATTTTTTGCTGCCATTGTTGCTAAAACTCTCTCTTGTTTGAGATTGGAAGGGATCACAAAGCTTAATGCACCAACTCAATATTGCAGATAATTTTAATAACCCTTAAACAACAAAATGCAAATCCAGACTGACCTCCACACGCCTCCTTAAAGAAGTAGTAGAGAGAATTTGATTACAAAAGATATAATTAAGCATTTTTCCTTTGAGTGATCATTTTGTTAATTCTCATAACCTTCTCTCTTGTTGATGCATTGAACAGATATAGTTAGGAGAAAATTGACGTTGTTCACTCTTGGGGCTTGAAGGGTCAAAACAAGCCAATGGGGCCCACATAACAAAAACTTAGTTAAACTGTATCTTGGTTTGAGCAGCAAAAAGCATCATCAAGAACTATTACTATCCCACCATCCCTCCATCCCTACTCAATAAAATGCTAGGCCACCAAATAATTATTGCTCCCAGCAGTATGCTCCCTTTAAATATAAAATTAAACAGGGAGAGGGGAGAGGAAAAATAAGAAATAGTTTACTGTGTAAGGAAATCCATCAATTGACAACACACAGGGCTCAAATCAAACCTCTCTGATTCGGGTCTCACGTATCACTAACATCCCGCCACCAAAATTTATAGAGCCACAGCTCAAACTTCTCAAACCTCAAACCCTTACAACTAGAGAATGAAGATATAAATACCAAGAATTAACAATCAACCTTCACTAGACCAACACTATAACTAACAGACGATCAATTTTTCTTACCTCCATCAGCCTGGACATCACAGGAATCCTAAAAATCCTTTAACACTGCAGACATGAACACTACAATAAGAACAGAGACAGAAGGTACATTTAATAATGGTGCAATGTTGTAGTCAGTACCATTTCACATTTTATTTTTGTGAGAGTTTAATTTTACAGATAGGTGATTTTTTGTATTTTGCAGGCACAAATTATTTTTTGGGATTGGTCAACCTGGTTTCTCCAAGTGGGAATTTATATTTAACAAATACATTCAACCATGCCTTTATAAATTGAGTCACAAATATAGGCAAATCAACATGTGAAAGCATTGTAGGTAAAATCTGTTCTCAGGTTAAACCAAAATTTCTTTTTTGTCTCCTACGAAAAATGAGGGTTAAAAAACAAGGGAAATTCCATAAAGCTGCGATATCGAAAGGATATCATTTATTAGATAGTTATCAGATTTTTATAATCGATCTAGAATAGGTCTAACATCAAACATTATCAAAATTTTTATCAGACTGAAAATATCAAATTTTTTATCAGATTTTGTCTTATTGTTTATAATGATATAAGGTACCAACTCTATCCAATGATAATTTACATTATCTGATATTTTGCCCTTATACTGTCATAGATGTCTAATTGGATTTAGTCATTCTAATCATTCTACTATCAGATATATGTAGAAAAGATGTGCCTCGTTAAATGTTCAGCTAATGTTGATCAATGTTGGTGATTTGTCAATATGCAATTTGGAAGGTTTTATCACGATAATCCAATATCATCGCATTAAGGAAAGAGGAAAGGACAATCTAAATAGACTCTAGTAGATACTAACGTGATACTATCGCGATAATATCCGATATCAAAGAAGGTTGAATACAGGATTTATCTGAATTTCTATCTACTACAAAATTAAATTTCCATGTAAGTTGTCTTTCTAAGTTGTGGAAGTCATTTTGCAGGACGTGTTCTAAGGTTGCAACTGTTTATGTACAGTGGAAAGAAATTACAAAAATTAAAACCCCACAAATACACGCCATGAGGTATAAGATACATGTATATAGAGCATATTACATATACAAAATTTCTCTTTGAGTGCTAAAAAAATTAATATTTCAGAAGTGAGCGCCTTGTTTTTTTTTTCAGTTCTTTTTGCTTTGCTTTCGATGTGTCTCTCAATCTCATAAATTCAGGATCAATGAATAGCCTTTTCCCATATTTGCACCTTGCAAGATAACAGTCAAAGCGTGATAAGATTCCTATGAGAGAAGATGGCTCATATTGTTCTCCTTTCTTTGTTCTACACAGGAAAAAATAACGAATTCCCATTTTTTGATATTTTAGGGTATTTAAAGAATAGCCATAAAAATCCCAAATTTGGTAAAGTGAGACAAGTCCCAACCAGGGAATTCCCAACCAAGTTCTCTGGTTGGGACTTGTCTCACTCTTCCAAATTTGGGATTTTTGTGGGTATTCTTTAAATACCCTAAAATATCCAAAAATGGGAATATGGTATGTTATTTTTTCCTGTGCTAGCGGCAATGATGAATTCACTAAGGTATACATTCACCTCCTCTGGTGGAATATTAATTGTTTAATTTTCTCTCTTCTTTCCGAAACTCGCGAAGAAATTTCAGAACAATGTTCAGGTCAAACATCACCTTTTTCTTTGTATTTTTCTTTTCTGATTAAGCAGTAAGCATTTGATCAGCATCCAATAATATTTAGATTCCAGTTAGGTAAATCGTCCACCACTTTGAAGTTGCAACAAAATTACTTTGACAAAGGCACTGCTGTCAGAGGCACCGCTGCACAAGGTGCGATTTCTTATGTAACGATAACAATACTGATCTTTTCATGTGTATGTGAAAATAACAAGTTACTCCTGAAAAGCTCACCTGGTATTTCATTGGTGTTTATATAATAAAGATAAAAATGTAGTGATAAGCAGGGCTGTCACTAAGATTTCAAGTTGCTGGGTATGAACAACAAGTAGGCGGGGAATCAAACAGCTGGGGATTTCTTTTGCTTCTATTTTTCTTCTATTTTCCTATGAAAGTAGCCAGACGCAATGTTTAGGGTAGCCAGGGGAAATCCCAGGCCCATGCCTCTTAATGACAGCCCTGGATACGTTGTACTTTGGGTGTAACCTTGTACTCCATAGACACAGTATAATGCTTTTAACAGTATGTTTTTCAAATTATTTTTGTTAAAACCTCTTGTCAACCCAAGGCACAGCAGATGAATGCCAACCACATCTAGCTTTATGGTGTGTTCCATTCAACAAAAATTCTTGTTTGAAATTTTGAAAAAATTCCACACACCCCAATGGTACACTAGTACATTCCAGTTGTACAGACCTGACCCAAGCCACTGTGTGTTTGGGTGGGTACTTGTAAGCAGGGTACAGATGTGCAGTAGAGGTGACAACAATTATGTCAAATGGAAACTGTCATTTTGGTCATACCAGTAGGACAGTCCAAAGTGTACCACCTTCAAAGGTGTTGTCAAATATTCTGACCAAACCGAACCAAGATGGTCTGTTCTGTTTGCTTTCTAACCAAAATTTCCGGAATTTGGGGTTGAATAAAAAGGCGCCCCTGGACTCACACTTTGCTAACGTCTTTTGCATTAATGCTATTTATCATGAGTATTCCTTCAGTCAGTATATCCCTGGCATCCGTGGAATATAATGGCAGAAGGAGGGGAGTCCAAGACTCCACTGTCTGGATGATACTTAAGTGTACATGTAAAGGTGTACCCCATGGGGTTGGGCAGACAGGAATGAACTGTTTTTGTATTAATTAATAGGATTATCAAGGTTTAAGGCCTTGGCAGTACTTCCCTTCAGTGTCTCCTCCCCTACCCCCAGGGGAGATTTTATTATAATCATGTAGTTATGAAATTCTGCTTACAACAAATGAATAATATAAAAAAGCCTTACCAAAGCCTGGTACATGAATCCTTGACCTCTGAAACCCACACATCTTGAAATTTGAACTGATTGGTAGCAGTAACCTTAATAATGAAATCAAGGGCAATGAATAAAGACAAAGAACAGTTCTTCCAGTAATACCTATATAATAATAAATAACTATTGCTTTAGAACGGGTGCTGTTGCACTGGCTGGTTGATGGTACTGCGAGTCATACACAAGTCAATGTAAGTATCCCCATGCCCCGCCAAGACATACATGTACTGTAGCAGGGCATTTGATTGGTGGGCTCTGCAAATGTGACTGTATCCAGGATTAAGAAAAGAAAAATTCATTTTTCCATTTGTATTTGTAACACCTCGCCTCCCCCAAAAAGGTGCCCACCTCATGGGCCATAATATCAAACAAGTGCTTTTCTTGAATGAAGCACCCCCTTCAATGATGATAATAATGAGATAATAAACATGCAAACCAATGCATAAGTGTAAAGTGTGTAATGGGCCTATGGTGTACTTGATTGTACCAACCACTGTTGTGAACACTTGATGAAAGGAATTTTATTGAAGTAACAAAACTGAATACCAGGCTGGCATTATGTAAAGGGCTGATTTATCATAGGCCCATAATATAGCACCAGCCTTGCATTCAGTTTTATTTCATTTTACACATCAAGTTAAAGACGTCTGGCTACTACCAGCATCTCTTTAATTAGAGATCCGGAAAGAGGAACCAGTCAGTTTTATTTATGCGCTGCCTGGACCTCTGCATTCAAAAAGTTTTTACTGTTGAATTAAAGGTTACCAAAAATCTATTAACCCCCCAGGGGTTATTTCAAACACATTTGATTGGTGGGCTTTGCAAATGTGACCATCTCCAGGATTAAGAAAAAAAATCATCCTTTTGTATTTGTATTTCATTTGTATATGTAAAACCCCAGCAGCCTGATCCCCCAAAAAGTTGCCCACCATGGGCCATAATATTAAACAAGCACCCCTCTTGAATAGCTCCCCCCCCCCCCCCCCCCTT